ACTCTAATCAAATAACTCATATAATTGTGCCTTTAGCTTTTTAGTTGGGTCAAAGCTATTAAGATAGACATTGTACCTAAAAAATATCAACCTTAAACTCCACTTCTCGATCAGGAGGTAATTCATCAGGGATTACATCTACAAATTTCCAAATTATTAGAATATCCTCCAATCTAACTTCAAATATTCAGTTGTCAATTACATTTACCAAAAAAATTAAACAACTTTTTTGACGTCAATTTCATTGCCATTACAACATATATCACATTGGACAATAATTTTACTTTTTCTCTGATTTCAATTATTTTGAAACCCTTCACATTTTTTAGAAATAATCGCTTCTTGCGACAATCTACCCAACCATAATACAAAAATAACCAATCATTGTCCACAATAATCTCATACTCATCAAATGGTAATTCCATAAGATTTGTCGAAAACATCACCCCTTGAACCTTTATTAGAAAATTTATACTTATTTGCTTTACTCTGACGCTAAAACCCATCGGTTTTGTTATTATAAATAAATTCTAAGAAAATGCCTATTTAAGGCAATCTTTTATTAACACAACTTATTCATGAATTCTTCTCTTAACAGTAAATTTAATAATCTCTAGACCCTCATCAATCTCAACTTCTCTTGTAATTCTTTTAAACCTTCTGATAGATTCCTCTAATTCAGTAACCTCATTAAACGCTAGGGCTTTTCTTTCACAAAATAGAAGAAAATCCCTTACAGCTCTCACCCTTCTAATGTGAGATACTAAAGTCCTTCCAGATCTATTTGGATCGATTTTAGTCGCGATTCAATTTCTAACATTATCTACTTTCTTTTACAATGGTTCTTAACTTCTGACATCTAATACATAAATTTCAAAATTACGTTAGTAAGCAGCAATATTATCAATAAAATCATCAAACCATACCAAATTAGAAATTTTGACATCCTCGTGGCATGTACATATTTTGAAAATAACATAGGCTCAATTTAGGCAGAGAATCGGCTAAACCTGTAGTTTTAATACAAATAAATGTAACACCCAAAACTCGTGTACGTCTCGAAATACGAGTTATAGAAGTTACATTAAACTTTCAGACATTCTTTGATCATAAATGCATAAATTTTTGTTCATTTTTAAATTTTTTCTATTTCAACTTAAAATTTTCCCCTTATTCGTATAAATGCTTAATTTTTTTTATCATAAATACTTAAATTTTTGCTCCTTTTTAAATTTCTATTTCAACTTAATTTTTTTTGTTTTCTTATCTAACATCCTTCAAATTTTCGTGAAATTCCAGTTCAATTCGATTATCCGATTTCTATACCGAACTTTATCGCTCAATAGCTTTTAATACAAATCTCGTACTAAAATTATGATCCCCACGAAAATTCTTGTTTTAGGACAAATTCATTTACGGGATAAAATATATAACTTTTTAAAATTACACTTTTGGTCTTAAAATTTTTAAAATGTATACTTTATTCACCAAACTTTCAAAACTTACATTTTAGTCACTAGCAAAAAATTGGGATATTACATGGAACTGGTGTCAGGAGTTGGTTTGAGCATTGGCTAGGTGCATAGATAAGACAGCCTTTTCGATTCTTTTTAGGCTTGAGTGGAGTGTTACATGTATCGTGTTTGGAGGGAGAGGTGTTTTCGAGCTTTTGGTGACAGGGCGAGGGGAAGTGAGATCTTGACGGGGGAGATTCGTGAGGATGTTTGTTTGTGACTTGTTGGGACTTGGGTGGTGGGGAGCATTAATCCAAGGATTTGTTTGGAGTGGGGACTAGGTTAATGTTCAATGGGAGGGTGGGTTTTGTATTTGATGGTTTAGTCTTTGGTTGTGTTTTGTATTGTTGTTTTTTGTTTTAGTTTGTATTGTTGTTTTTGGTTTTAGTTTGTAGCAGTGTATTCTGTTTTCTTGGATAATGAAATCAATATTCATCCTAAAAAAATGAACCATCTATATTTTAATTAAATTTTTATTAAATTGTGTAGTTCCAAATGTAATTTAAAGTTGATTTTAATCATGTTATATAACTTAAATTACGCATTTTGAAGTATCCAATCAACTTTAAAGTCAACTTTAATCATGTTATAGAACTTAAATTATGCATTTTGAACAACCCAATCCTAATTGACTTTAAAGTTGATTTTAATTATATTATATAACTTAAATTACGCATTTTAAATTATCCAATCAAATTTAAAATTGACTTTAAATTACACATTTTGAACTACACGATTTTATAAAAAAATTAATTAAAATATAGATGATTCATATATTTTTTTTATTAAAAAATAAAATCATTAGTTAAATTAAAAAGATCCAATTTAAAATTATATATAATCATGTTATATAATCTTTGAATTATAAAAAATAAAAAATAAATATAATTCTCACCATGGGCATATTCCTATTTTTTATGGAATGAAATAAAATATATTGATTATTGTGTAAAACATATCACGAACATGCGTTTGGTTCAGTGGTGTTGCGTGCGCACTATGTTCACTGTAATGGCCCTTAGGTTGATACCCGGGTAGACCCGAACTAATGCTAAATTTCATTAAATTAAATGGTGAAAGTGAAAGTAGAACAAAAAGGAAAAGATTTATTTTGTGATTAATCCTTTAGTAAAGAAAAATCTAGAGTTGGTTCTTGAAGAGTGAAGATAACTGTTGTTTATAGAAAAAAAAATAAGAAGAGAAAAAAATCCATCATCATCTTCATTCTTTTCTTCTCTTCTATTATTCATTATTCTCATAATTTTCTTGTTTGAAATCATATAGCCATAGAAAATATTAAGAAGTGAGGGAAGAAGGGGAACCTTCTCATGCTAAAGGGAAAGAAAAAGCTTGAAGAAGAAAGTAGGGAACTTTTTCTTGTAGTAACAAGCTAAGGTAATGTGTTTCTATTCTTTGAACACCCATGTAAACCCTAATATTTGGATTAGTAAGTTGGAAGCATGTTGCATATAATTAGTGCTTTGTTTTGGGATTTTAGATATAGAAACCCATTGATTTTTTTTAGGAACCTACTTGTTTTAGGTTGCAACCATATTTTAGGTTGGAACTTGTATTAGGTTACAACCATATTTTAGGTTGGAACTTGTCTTAGGTTACAACCATATTTTAGGTTGGAACTTGTTTAGTGCAACCATATTTTAGGTTGGAATTTGTTTTAGGTTGCAACCATATTTTCGGTTGGAACTAGTTTAGTGCAACCATATTTCAGGTTGGAACTTGTTGCAAGAAAGTTTGTGATATCACGTGGGTTAAAATCGTTTATTGATAATAAGTAGTAAATGTTTTTAAATGGTCCTTATGGATTCAACATTTGCAATATAATCCCTAAGGTTCATAAATTCTCCAAAAAATTATCTTCTTCAAATCTAATCGATTTGATTTATTTCGAGGTAGTTTCAAAACGGTTCTAGAATTTATAAATATGAAGGTGGTGATGTATTGTACGGGATACACACCCAACTATAGCAAGATGATATATCGTACAGGGTACACATCTAAATATAAAGGTGGTGATGTATTGTGCGGGATACACATCCAACTACAAGCAAGATGATGTATCGTACGGAGTACACATCTAAATATGAAAGTTGTGATGTATTGTACATGATACACACTCAATTATAAGCAAGGTGATGTATCATATGTGGTACACACCTAAATTTATGAGTAGCAAAGTATTATATTTGTATATCAGTTGAAATAAAGGTATGTCTTGATAAAAGACCCGTGATATCATCGAGAAAGAAGATAAATGAGGGATGACAAGTAAGTTTGATAAGGTTAACGATAGCTCGAGAAAATGATACTCTAAGTACGATTAGAAATTTTTAATGACGTTATATAACATTTTCGGCTTACTTTCTAAATTTATGGTTACATGAGTTTCATTGAATAGTCATACATTATTGGGCTCTTGTATCTCATACCTTAGTTGGTTACCATTTTTAGGATCCTGATAGTTGATAGTAGATCCAGGGAGCACCATCGCTGAGGGATTCCAGCATCTCGACTGTCAGAGTACAGTTCTTAATTCTATTAGGGGCATGTGCGTACTATGTGTAGTTGGGGTTGTATATATGTATTCAGTATGATGTCTGGTTATATATTTTGAAATGCTTTATATATTTTTGTGGATCATGAAAGAGTTGGAGCTTCGCATTTTGTATACAAACTATCTCAGTTGTCAAATATTTTGTATTTTTATCTTAAATATGTTTTTTAAAGAAGTTTTAAGTTAAAGAAATTCTTATTTTATGAACTTTTGGGTCATTCTTAGGTCGGATGTGACAATTTAAGCCTAGTGTTAACACATTGAGTTTAGGGTGTTACATTCACAGTGTCCAAGTTCAAATTCTCCCAACTTCTTTCGTATTCTACCTTCATTTCTCATTTGATTTTATTTCAACCATATGGTGACAAGTTTCACCACATGATTTGAAGATAAATATATAAATTAAATAAATATAAATTATAAAAAAAATCATTTAATCTAATGGTGACATGTGTCACTATCTAATTAGTGTTATTGAATTAAATTAAATTTAAGACCAAATTGATAGAATGTATAAGTATTGATGATCAAATTTATAATTACACAAATTTTGTTAACTGTCATGTTAGCATTTCTGTTAATTGTTAACGGTTAGTGGCTTGATTGACATCATTTAAATAGTTAGGTGGTCTGATTGATAAAATTAAAAGATCAGTGGCAAAAGTAAATGGGATAAATAGTTAGGTGATCAATGTTATAGTTTACCCTAATTATTATTACCAGTAAATTACAAATCCCAATCATTCAACGTTCTTATCATTCCTATTTCGGTCACTAACTTTTAAAAGTTCTCACTTGTGTCACTTAAGATAACCAACTTGGTGACTGAACCATTGAGAAACTGCCACGTGTGCATCACAGATTCATACATCACACATTTGATCCGACCCAAACTCTATCCTTTTGTTATTGGTCTATGTCTTTCCGCCACTGCAACTTATGCGAGCTATCGGAAAATGGCTACCATACTTGACTCGCTCTTGCCCCCGAGTCGACCCACCCTTCCAACTCGCTTCTCAACGCCACTCCCTTCTTCTGCTCCGTGTTTTTGCACTCGCAGAAACCAATCGGTAACCCATTTTTGCTCCCCCTTCCATTTTCATTCATGTTTCTTTCAATTTTGTTGATCAAAATACATTACTGGTAATTATGATTCCATGCATTTGTTTATGTGGCTTCGTTTATAGTAATCATATGATAGGAGATTTGTTTAATTGAGTAATCTATGTTGTTATTGAATGATTATGTTTTTCCCTTGTTATATAATCAGATTACAGTCTTTTCAATTTCTAGGAGTGGAATGGCATTGATTTTATCATGTATCTTCTCAGAAGTTGGTTTACATCATCTAATTGCATCTGCTGAACCATCATCAGTTGGGTTCCTAGAGTACATAGATACATTTGATGGGTATTCATTGAAGTACCCTCAGAACTGGATTCAAGTTCGAGGTACTGGAGCTGATATATTCTTCAGGGACCCTTATGTTCTTGATGAAAATCTCTCAGTTGAAATGCCCTCTCCTTCATCTTCCAGGTATAAGACGGTTGAAGATTTGGGTCCTCCCGAAGAAGCTGGAAAGAAAGTACTTGAGCAGTACTTGACAGAGTTCATGTCGACGAGGCTTGGTGTTCGGCGTGAATCAAATACACTTTCAACTTCCTCGAGAGTTACTGATGATGGGAAGCTATATTATCGACGTCTGGGGATGCATGTATAATGTGTGGGATTATGGTTTTGGTTAGGTGAACATAAAGTCGTACGGAAACACCAATGAACTCGCTGTGATGCAACAAGACAGAGTACCTAGATTGGAATGGAACCGGCGGTACCTTTCGGTTTTTGGAGTTGAGAACAACAGATTATATGAGTTGAGATTACAAACACCTGAAAGTGTATTTGTAGAAGAAGAAAATGATCTGCTGCAAGTTATGGATTCTTTTAGAGTCAACAAGGTGGCTGGCTGATCAGTTTTTAACTTGAGAATTCCCCTTCTTTTCATTTGTTTTCTTGGGCTGAGGTTTTTGTTCCTTTTTCTTTTTTCGTAGGACTACTTTTTGTTTCAGTGAAGCATACTTATTTCAATTTGGGTTATCATGCTAGACCATTTACTCCAATGGATGCATAATCAAACATGGATATAAGAATGCAATCGTCAAAGATACTCCCAAAAACTAAAAAAAAAAATCAAGTATACTCGTGTTAAAAACATGCTCACATCCAAATCCAACTATATTCGTTCAACATTCCTTGAGGGAACTTATATATCATTAGTATCCTTGGGAATCTGACCAATCGACCAAAAGCAGGTCTGCTTAGGCATGTCAAAAACAATTAGATACAGCTCTAGATGATATGCTATTAGTATCTAGAGACTATACTGATCACTATCATACTCTAAAGCAAGGTATATGTTTTATATGGAGTTCAGAAAGTAGTAAATACCTTGTTGCAAAGAGGTAGTTGAAACTGCAGAGTTATCGAGTCAATTGTCTTTCCAGGATCATTTCTTATACCAACACATTAACTCTGCATTTGCCGGCATCTGATGGTAGCTGTGGCTTTACATATATGGGATTTGAGTACTCTTCAACTTTTTAACTCTGCATGGAAATAAAGATGCTTTAATGATAATATTTAGCAGCATCAGCTGAAAATTAGCAGAAGCTCAAATGTATGAGAGAAGCTGTAACTCAAAAGCTTAAACTCTCCATCAGGAGGTACAAATGACAGAATTTGATGAGAGTGTCAAATCTAGAAGATATGGGCAGATGGGAGTGAAACTACGAAATACAAAACAAAAACTCTCCATCTCTAAACAGCAGATGCAGAAGAAAGAGGCTCACGACTGAATGTAAAACTATGAAATACAAAACATAAACTTCATTGTTTGCATATTTTGGACCTGCAGCACTCCAAGGTATGCAAGACCCTGTAGCACAGGAAGGGAATCACTTACATTCGAACTATTGCCAATCACCACACTCAAAACTTTGCTACCAATATTTGGTGGAACAAATCATTCTGTCTTAGAATGTTCGTTTCTGTTGTGAGAGGGAAGCCATTGTCTATCATCTCATCCAGAAGCCGCAACAAGCATGCTAGACTGCTAGTTCAGCTCGATTTGAGCAGCACATATTTGCTCATGGAACACAACCCACATTTCCTATAAACAGTCGCATAGAAGAAAAAGGACCGACAAAATTGACAGGGACGATCTAGCTGTGCATTCCATGAAACAGGAAATTGGGTATGTAAAGTGTAATCACCATTTTTACCTTGATCCAGCTGGTTCCCTGCTCCAATTAGCACCTACCAGCAACTTCCACCGACGACAGCTGGTTTCTCGCTCCACACAGCAGATGCCAGCAGCCCAACTCCACCAGCTGTCCCTCCACGTCCCGGTTACAACTCACAAGCAAAACAAACAACAATCATTTTTTTTTGTTTTAAGCATGTAAATGGGTTAATATATAACCCATAAAAATTACAGTGTAGAGGGGAGGAATGATACACAGAGATTGTAAAAAAAAAACCCAAATCTAGCATCAATACAACAGCAGAGATTATATTTCTAAGGTTTACTTCCCCTTTGAATATGTTATTATTATTATTTTTTATTTTCGAATTAGAGTAGCAGTAGTTTAAAAAAAATGGAAGAACAGGGGATTCGAAATAATAATAAAAGAGAAAATAACTTCAGTGACCAAAAATCCCATATAATATACGATTTTAACCAACTTTTTTCCGGATTTGCCAAAATGACCAACAAAATCGCAATGCGATCGCTAATTCGCAACGCGATCTCCATTATCGCAAATCAGTTTCCAGATTCGCAACGCGATTATGACTATCGCAATGCGATTTTCCAATTTCGCGTTGCGATTTTCCCAATTCGCAATGCGAATAAGTAAATCGCAATACGAATTTGGAAAACGCAATGCGATACTGACTATCGCAATGCAATTTTCCTAATTCGCATTGCGATTTACGTATTCGCGTTGCGATTTTCATAATTCGCAATGCGAATTAGGAAAATCGCAACGCGAATACGTAAATCGCAATGCGAATCTTACTATCACAATACGATTTACATAGCGCCATTCGTATTAACGCGTATTTTTTTTTCAAATTCCAAACACGAATTTTTTCTTAATAAATCGGAAACTGAACCGTCCACAGTAATCGCAACTCATAACCTCAAACCTAAAATCACAACACTCAGTCTCATCTCCATCTCTCACTCTCTACGGTGAAATCCGTCCCCATCTCCGAAGATTTCCGTCCGCATCGCCGGCGAAATCCCTCACAACCATTCATAGTCAAAAATCCCTCACAATCATTCAGAAATGGAAAACCAACCTCCGAGGGTTAGTTTTGTTTTATTTTTATTTTGAAATTTTTGCATTATTTTAGGTTTTTCATATTGAGATTGATGATAAGTTTACTGGTAATTTCAATAATAGATTAACCATTTCACTTAGATTTCTTATTAAATTCATTCGATTGCTGCCAATACTGCTAAACTGTTTAGCCTGTGAAGTTAGTATTTGTCTTTATTTTGTGTTTTGGTTGAAGTAACAGAAGAAGAATAGTTTCGAGAATGAAAATCGCAACGCGGAAATAACTATCGCAACGCGAAATAAAAATCGCAACGCGAAACCAAAATCGCATTGTGATTTTCATTTCGCGTTGCGATTCTCTCGTTGCGACGTTGCGATTTTCATTTCGCGTTGCGATAGTCATTTCGCGTTGCGATTCTCTCGTTGCGATAGTCATTTCCGCGTTGCGATTCTCATTATCTCGTTGCGATTTTATTTCAACCAAAAGACAAAACAGTGTTGCAAATTTTAGTTTCAAGAATAAACTATTATTTATGTTTATTGTTTTTGGTATATCTTGACAGTGTAGTTTTTGGTATATCTAACTTGGTATGTTTATTGTTTTTGTAGAAATTTTTTTCGGCTTCATTGACATTAAGGAATAAAGTTAGCCTAGCCACTACAATTGCTTCGAAGCTTTCACCTGCACAAAGAAAATTGTTTGAGGAAACCTGCTTCGGGCCATGGCTGAGAGTACAGCATCCGGGTGGAGATGCTAATTTGACCCATTTATGGCTTCAGACCATGACTAGCGATCTACCCGACAGTATACAATGTGGTGAGGAAGAGATATGGTTTCATTTTCCACCGGCGTATACTTGTTTTGGGCGGAAGGAGTTCTGCTTAATCACTGGTCTACGATTCGGACACGATGATGTAGGCCGGTACACTCGTCATATCACCCGCCCATCATGGTTATCCAGGGTTTTTCCTGATGAGTCAAAAGAGAAGCCGAACTTACACGTCGACGACATGAAGAAATTGTTTAATAAGAAAGATGATTTTACTCGGATGAATGACGTCGATGTTGTCTGAGTATGCCTTCTACTACTTTTGAATGCCGGCATTTTAGGCAGAGAGGCCAGACAACCTATTCCTCAGGAGCTAATATTATTGGTAGAGGACCTAAATGGATGGAATCTGTTTCCGTGGGGTTCGTATATATGGAAAGCTACCTGGACTAAGTTGTCGTCTGCCTTTGATGACCGCAAAAGTTTGCGGGGTGATGGGTCGAAATACACTTTGTCAGGCTTTGTTTGGGCCTTTAAGGTAAGAATTTCTATATAATATTTTCAAAATTATAATTAATTATTTAACAATTACTAATGTTTGTTATTATATTGTTTGTAGATTTGGATATTCGAGGCCTTTCCCGCCATGAAGACATATGCAATAAAAACTTCAAATGATATTCCCAGGGCTATTTCCTGGAAGAGGAAACGTCTGTTGGATTGGGAAGACTTAATACCATATGCGACAATAAATAATGTAAGTTAACACAAATACTATCATATATAAACAAGTTATTAATAGTAGACGTTTAACTTTGTTTGAGTTTTTATATTTTTAGGAGGCCAACATTCCATTAATGAGACTGACACCCACGGAGGCTGAGCTTGCCACTGATTGGTGGCAAGCTAGTCAGCGTTTTCTTGATGGCACGAATGATGAGCAGCCTCCACTTCCTCCACTTCGAGAGCCATCACCTCACCCAGAGCCATCACCTGATCGACCCGACTATACACCTCTACAACGAGAGCCATCATCTATCCCGTCACATCATCGAGCCTCTTCTCCACCATCACCTCATGATAGGCGACCGGCAAAGATGCCACGACTTCTATCTCCCTGTTCTCTACCTCCATGGGATGAGTCAAGGGAGTTACGTGATGAGGTCAATGCCTTGCGTGAGGAGATCGGTACTCTACGCGATAACGATGGTGCATGGCGTGTGGAGGTGTCTACTTTACGCGGTGAGGTTGCCGCTCTACGTGAGATGGTAGTATCGTTGCAGAATGAGGTTCATACTCTACACAACGAGGTAAGTTTAAGATTTTCCATATTTAACTTGATGATAAATTTACTCGTAATTTCACTTAAATTAACCATTTCACTTAGATTGCTTAGTAAATTTATTCGGTTGCTGCCAATACTGCTAAAATGTTTATTAACACTGTGAAGTTAGTATTTGTCTTTTTGTTTTGTCTTTTGGTTGAAGTAAATTTATTCGGTTGCTGCCAATTCTGCTAAACTGTGTATTCTTTAACACTGTGAAGTTAGTATTTGTCTTTGTTTTGTCTTTTGGTTGAAAGTTTGAAATATATTTGTCTTTATTTTCACTGTTTAAATATCATGTCTGTTTATTTATTGATATTTGTATTTAATTATTTAGCGGACCGATAAGGTGGATGCTTTACGTCGGGTTTTTCTTGCACGACAGAGTTCATGCATCAGACGGCGTGCACGTGCTATTAAGTCTCCGTATACCCCAATAGTGCAAAGACACCGCAAGAAGAAGCCCGACTCGCCTGTCATCCCTCAAGAGTCCACTCCTATCGTTGAAGAGGCCCTTATCATTCCTCGAGAGTCCCCTCCCACCGTTCAAGAGGCCACTGTCATCGTTGAAGAGGTCCCTCCCACCATTCAAGAGCCCGATTCACATGGCGTCATATGTAGGATTCTTGAGAAACCCTCTGACGTGCCGGACATGATGGATT